GGTGCCACCCGTTGCCTTTTGCACACGCCCAGGTGTGCCTGGGCTCATTCTTGCCTTTGAGGTGCACACGGAGAAAGGAGAGAGAACTGCCCTCCTCATCCCTGGCAAAGAAGGAGGGCCAAGTCCCCTGTCCCTCATAGGGACCTTGCATTTCGCTCAAAGCTCCCCTTGCTGTTCTGGGGAAGGTTCAGCTTTCCAAGACCATTGGCTGGCTCCTGTTTATGACGCTTTTGGGGAAAAGACATTAGACCCATACAAGGCTCATTACAATTATGCAAAGCGTGAAAACTGCAACACTCTTTGTACTCGTTTGGGGAGCACATATACTCGATTCGCTCTCTCTTGTAAAAGCCTGACTCATTTGGATTTATTTGGTATCTTCTTTTCGCCATTCCGTTTCTGAAAAGAAATAAAGAAATACAGCTCCCACCACGCTAGGTCACGTAACTCTGCTGAGACTCCCCCGAGGTCCCCACCCCACTCCGTGGTAATCCCAGGTTGTCGCTGCAGCCAGGATCCCCACAGGACCTGCCCTCTCGCCTCCGGCCTGCTCACCTCCTTTCTTCCCGCTCCCCTCGGCTGCTGGACCCCAGCCGCACTGGTTTGCTTGCGGCTCCCGGAATACGCCGAGCAATGCCTCTTGCAGGGCCTTTGCACACGCTGCTCCCGTAGGCTGTGTTCTGCGGGGATGCTCCTCCCCCTCAGGCGTGCTCAGGGCTGTCTTCTTCACGTCTTCCAGGCTCAGGGGTCATCTTACTGAGACAACTTTCCTGACAACTCCGCCTCAAACAGCACCAGCCAGCCTGTCACTCTGTCCCCTTGGTTTTGTCCTCCTGCATAGCACTTATTCCCTCCTGAAGTGTGTGTGTGTGCGTGCGTGCGATTGTCCTACTTCTCCCAGGGGGGCAGAGATGTTTACCTTGTTCACTGCTGCAGACCCAGCACCTAGCGCCATCCTGCCGCACAGTTAGGTGCTCGGTAAATACCGGATGTGTGACTGTTCGGTGAATGATGAGAGGACTCTTGAGTGTGTGCACGCGACGTGGGGGAGGGTCCACTCGCTCCACGGACCAGACGCCCCGGGATGGGTGGGCGCCTTCTCCCACCGTGGTCCCTGCAACTGTTGTAGGCAACAGGCCCCAAACAGCACAGCAGCAGGTGAGGGGGTGGCTTACCGACAAAAGGTCTCTCATCGCCTGCGTGCTCGATCCATGTTGTAATGAGCGGTACCGAAGATAAGGGGGAAGAGATGGCGATGTGAAAATAGACCTTGTGAGATATGTGTGAGTTTTCTTTGCGAGAGGGTTGGGAGAGAGGACTTGTTAGCGCTCAGAGAGATACTGGAAGATCAGGAAATGTTCGATGCCCTTCTCACTGCTTAATCACGAATTTTCACTAAGATAAAAAGGTGAAATTTTACTTTTTACAGAGATGGATTTTTTTATGATGACTTTTTTTGAAAGTAAATATTCTGTAAGAATAACACAAGTTAGACAATATAGAAGAGAACAAGAAAGAAAGAAAAGCAAGCACTCAAGGTCTCATCCTCTGTGCATACCCCAGCAAACACTCTGACAGTCAGTGTTTAGGATATTCTTGAGGTACGTCTACAACGTAGACACCTGGACTCTGTTTTACAAAAATGGGATCGTACAGTATGTTTTATAGAGGCTCCTCCCTCCCTCCCTCCTTCCCTCCCTCCCTTTCTCTCTCTCCCTTACTTCCTCCCTCCCTCCCTCTTTCCCTCCCTTCCTTCCTTCCTTCCTCCCTCCCTCCCTGCCTCCCTCCCTCCTTTCCTTTCTTCCTCTCTCTCTCTCTCTCTCTCTCTTTCTTTCCTTCTTTTGACATTAATTTGTCATTCCCCTTATTTATGCATTCATTGGTTGATTCTTGTCTGTGCCCTGACTGGGATTGAACCCACAACCTTGGTGCATCAGGCCAACACTCCAACCAACTGAACTATCTGGCCAGGGCTAGAGGACATGCTCTTATGGCAGGACGTGCAAATCTTCAACATTACTTATAACAGCCTTTAACAGAATCATGGCGTTCCACCGTATGTAGCCAGTTCCTGACGGACAGATACTTAGGTTGTTTCTGACTTTGCTCTCAGCTGAGATTGTATATCCAGGCTGCTTCATGGCAGCTCTTGTCCCAGCTGGACCCTCCGTCGCCTGTGGCATTATCGTTTTAGAAAGCCATTGCCACCATTGGCCAGTGGTCTCCCTCCCCATGCCCAGCCGAGAAAACAGTCATAAAGTCTCCCAAATCCACTGTCAAATATCAGTCCAGCAGGCTCTGCGAAGTCCATCTCCCATGCACGGAGGAGGACTTGCTTACTTACTTCGGACTTCCTAGAAGAACTCAGAAATGCTTCTGCATTGCACTTGGGCATCCATTGTTTGTGGCTCTCAGAGTCCACCTGCCCACCCTCTGTTGAGAGCAATTCGTGGAGGATTGCCCGTCTCTTGTTGGATGCTGTGTGCATGGACCTGGGGTGGGGGTGGGTGGACGGCCATTAAAACCCCTGAACTGCTGGCCTCTGCTTCCATTCCTTCCCCTTGCCCTCCTGGCTCCCACAGTCCCAGGTCCCACAGGTTTGGAAGCTCCTGGGATTCACAGGCGAGCCTGGACATGCCACACCCTTCAGCAGAGATAACAGCAGACGCTGGAAGGAGGGGTGCGCCACCTTAGTGGCCTTAACGATCTCCCTCCCTTTGTCTCGGGGCATGACCCAGAAAAAAATCTTGATCTCATAGACCACAGTGCTGCCTGGGGTTGTTTTTGCAAAATTTCCTCTCGTTTTGTCCCGTCATTAAACTTGTAAGGGTGGCTTCTCTTGGCTGAACGCCGCCACCCTGGGTCAGAGAGGGCCTCGTTATTATTAAGCTGTGGGACAGCTGAGGGTGCAGCAGCACCCAGAAGTGACATGACCTGCCCGGGATCATGTGGCAGTGCCCCAGTGTCCTGGGACTCAGTACTGCCAGCGGCGGAGGCGGCTCAAGTTACAGGACCCGGTCGCCTGCCAGCGGGTGGGCTGCTCCTCATCCCTCAGCTCAATGTCGAAAGAGCCACAGGAGGGGGGTGGAGAGGGATCCTGGTGGTCTCACTTTAGAGGGTCTCTAGCTGCAGAGTCTGGAGATAAGGGGGTGACGTCGCCCTGAGGTCCGTCCCCAGCACGGAGGATTAGGAGCTCCCAGGGTGGGTAACTCTATAGTTTACCGAGGCCACTGACAACACTATGTACCGCAGGGTATCAGCTGTTCAGCCCAAGTAATCAAGTTATAGGGAAAGAGGAGGCGGGGACAGGCACGCAGGGACTCACCCGACCGAAAGTCTACTCTGAGCCTGGCTTGTGTTCACACGCATGTCTCACTTACTCCTCGTGCCAACCCTGAGGACACAATCAACAACCCCGACTGCCCTGCTCCTCCTCCTCCGGGTGGAGGAGGTCGGTGATCAGAGCTGCTGAGTGGAGAGTAGCCATGATGGGATGGAGATGGGGCTGGAATTCATCTCTGTCTCCATCCCTGAGTTCAGCTCTGTCCCTGTGACCCCCATGCCCACCGGGGCGCCCCAGGCCAGCCCCGGCTTTGCAATAAATCTCTTTGGAGGGAGGCGCCATCCTGGGAAGGAAGCCCTCCATCTCCCCCAGACTCATTGGGCTCCTTTCCTCGCTGGCGTGTTCTCCGAGGAGGACAATGTCAAAAGTTGGTGTTTTTATCTCAAACTCTTGGGGGGGGCATCTCTCCAGACTGCAGCCGGCTCAGGGGCGCCATTTTGGCTGCAACCCCGCCGAGTTTCATTTTCACTTTTTTATTGAAAAATCGAAATCCGGGGAATTAGAGCCTTTCCATATTGATTCTTCAGGGGCAAGTGAAAATTACATTCTGTGCAGGACCCAGAAAGTGCCACGCCGAGTGGTGACAGAGCCGACGCCGGGGTGACGTGGCGTGCGGGGCAGGAAGGAGCGCCCAGATGTGGTCTCTGTGTCACCTTGTCAAGTGACAAAGTGACAGCTAATTTTTGATTCACGCCGAAAGGATTCCTGGAAGTAACATGTATTTTATTGTTCCTTTTTGTTACTATGTCAGGGATGGAGGGGGTGAGTCCTCGCATGGCCCCTACCTACCCCCCAGCCTGAGACTTTTGGGGTGCGAAGAGAGCCAGCCCTCCTTCTGGCTCATCTCATCTCTTCGGGGCCCAGCCAGCTCTGGGCTCAGCTCTCGCTCTGCTGCTTACTACCTGGATGCCCTTTTGCAAATGAATTTCTTGAACCTCCGTTTTTTTTGTTTTGTTTTTTTTTCAACCTGAGACTTGGAGATAATAATAATAGAGACAACCACATAAGGTTCCAGTGAGGACTGAGTAAGTATTTGTTGGCCGACAGAGTGACTGTAGCAGGTCACCCACCTGAAGCACCGGGCCTGATGAGACAGGGGTCTGCGGGCCGCGGCCACGTCCCATTCTCGTCTGGGCCGGTCCCCCAGGAGAGCAAAGGATCCTGGGACTCGTGGCCCTTGAGGCGGGTGGGCCCGTTGGAGGGCTGCGCTGCCATCCTGGGCTTTATCTCCCTTTTCCCTGTTCCGTCAAAGTGAACACCTCCTAGCTGGGCGCGGGCGAAAGCTGTTACACTGCCAAAGGTGCCCTCTGAGAAAAGACATTCTGTGAGTTAACGTCTGGAAACAATTCCTTCTTTTCTTCTCGCCTCCTCCTCTCTCCCACCCTCCGCCGCACCTGAAACATGTCCTGTCTTTCCCGTTCCCATCTGCAGGCGGATTGTTCACATCAGCTGAAGCCCTGCAAGCGATTCTGCAGGAAACGAGCAGGCCTCGGAGGAGCAGAGGGAGAGCCTGGGACTTTTGAACAGACATGTCAGCAGCTGGGGGTGAGATGCCCACAGCAGGCAGGGGGGCGGGGCGGGGGCCGAGCCAAACCGCAGGGCGCCTCTAGGTGTCCCACGGGCACCCCGCTTTGAAGGTAACCCACCGACCCTGGCCTCCACAAACATTCCGGCCAGATGTGCAGCCCCTGGCGCGGGGAGGCCAACAACTGCTTTGAAGATGAAAAGCCTCCCAGCACTGCCACCGCTGCGAGCTGGTGAAAGGCGAGCTCAGCCGGAAGGGCCAAGTGCAAAGAAGAGGAGCAGCGAAAATGCTGGGGGTGGGAGGAAGGGGCGGGGTGGGTGCCTGCGCTTTGAAAGGCTGCCATAGAAAGTCTTGTTCAATGGATCCTCTTCCAACCTGCCCGAGTGCAGCAACTGGACGTGGCATGTGACAGGCGCTGCAGACAGATCACGTTTCACGCACGCAGCTGTAATATCTGGCGCACAGGTGTTTGGTTCAGTGTCTGCCAGCTGCTCTGCAGCGCCCTGCTTCTGGGATGGGGCGGGGGGCGGGGAGGGAGAAACCCTCACACTTGTTGCTGCCAAAAGCGAGGAGGGGGCTGGAAATTCCTGCCACCTGGCTAAGTGCTCAGCGTTCCAGTCAGTGCTCGAGTCCCCCGTGCCTGCCTCTGAGGGTCCCTGGGCCTCTGCTCATGTGGTCTCTGGGGACAGGGACTGTGACCTAATGGGAGAGGGAGCAGGGTGACTAGGGAGCTGCCAGCAAGCTGGACAGGGCCCCGGGGAAGCCTGGGAAGGGGGCGTGAGCCCAGGCGGAGGAGGCCACTGGGAAGACCAGACTTCAGGTTTCAACTCCACCTCCAAGTAATTGTGACATCGCAGCCAAGTTTCTTAAGCTGTCCGGGCCTCAGTTTCCTAATCTGTGAAATGGGGTATGTAACACCTGGTGCACAGCCCTCGGCCAGGAATTGCACATGTAAAACACTTAGGGAAACAGTGTTGCTAGGAAGGTGGGATGGGGCAGGCACTCCCCAGGCTCCAGGGCCACCGCCCTGGACACCTGTCGTGTGAACTTGGCCCAGGCACCACCAGTGTCTGACACGGATCAATGTCTTCCTGCTCTTTTTCTGTTCCCGGGGAGGAAGAAGGTCGGCCATGCAGAAATCTGAAGTCCTGGAGAAGTGAAGCAGTGGGCAGTTTGGGCAAGGATCCCTGACCCAGCCGTCCAGACCATGTCCTCCGCTGTCCCTGGCCAGCAGGTTCCAGCCTGAGATTCCGCAGGGCTGTGCCTGTTACATGTGGACGCGTCTCCCCCATGCTGGACGCGTTGCAGCCCGTGGCTGTGCCCGCTTCGCCCACCGCTCTGTCTCCGGCACATTCCCCGCACAAGGGAGGGCTTGATGAACGTTTGCTGCAGGGGAGAAGGCGTGAGTGGGTGGACGAGCGGGGCGGCGTTCTCCCTGCCTCTTCCATCCCTATTTTAAGGACGGAAAACATGCATGTTCAAAAGATGGACAGTGGCCACATGCCCAGCCCAGCATCACCCCCCAGCCCTCAACCCTCCCCCGTCCACCCTTCCCAACACTACCCTGTGTCCTGCCTTCTTTGGCCCCTGGCTTCCTGCTCCGTGGGCGTGCTTTGCCTTGCCTTCTCCTTCTACCTCCCCTGTCGGTCCACACCTCTGTCTCCGCGGCCCCGTCTCTCCCGGGTCTGGGGAACGAGACAGCTCCGGTAGGAGGGACGTTGCAGGAGGAAGAGCAGCATGATGGGAGCCCCAGGGCGGGGCCGGGTCATGCTCTGTGCTTCGGCCATGGCAGCTGACGGCTGTCTGTCTGAGGTTGCTTCTTGGAGGCTGCAAACTGTTGAATGAGCACCCTGTGTTTTATATTCCTGATGCGTGTATTTAAAAAATACCCATCACAGCCCCATCTCTTTCCTGGAGCCATGCTGGGCAGGGGGCGTGCCTCTGCCTTGGTCCTTCCTGACCTGCACGCTAAGCCCGCTATCTCTGCCAGAAGGGCCTCTTCTAGCTACAGCCCCCCACCCAGGGCCCCTCTGTGGCCATGGCCAATGTCCATGTAGATTTCCCCTTTGGCAAGGGGGAGCAGTGTGAGGAAGGGGGACTGATGTTTATCTAGCACCTGTTATGTGCCAGACCCTGTGCTAAGTAAGCACTTTCTAGTCATTGAGGCAGGTGCAGCCACTCTCCCCACTTTACAGACGAGAAGACTGAGGAGCACCGATGCGCATTCTGCCCACCGTCACAGGGCTGGTAAATGGCTGGGCTGGGGTTTGGGTCCTGGCTTGTCAGATGCCTCAGCCTGTTCTTCCCATGTCATTAAGTCAACAACCTTATCCACCAACTTGAACTAATAGCCATGGTGGGCTGTGGGCCTGCATCCTTTCTTTCTAGGTAACAGTGTCCTCTTGCGGGATAATGCCATTCATTCATTCATCCATTCACTCACTCAACAAGTAGGTACTGAGCACCTACGGTGCACTGGGCTCTGTTCTAGTAGCTGGAGATGAAGTGATAGCCTGGACGGACAGAGCTTACAAGACAGTGGAGAGGCAGACACTGAGTGGGCGAGCTCGTAACTCAATTAGTCGATTGTAATTGCACTGAGTGCTATAAAGGAAAAGTGCTGGGAAAAGCTTGTCTGGGAGGAATCCAGGAGGTCTCCCCTGAGGAAGAGCCTATATTCCCATCTTTGCTGTCCACTGGGCAAGTGACTCGAAGGCAGTGATTTGGGGTGAGGACGGGCCAGGCTGATGGGGAGGAGCACCCAGATCGTGCCATTTCAGACGGACGTGAGCGCTCAGGCACCCCCTGTGCCTCGCATTTGGCTCTGGAGGGAGTGACAGCTTGTTTACAATACCCAAGGGAGGAAAAACCCACACCGGAAAGAATCGGTGTCTCGGCCCCAGCCGGCCAACGTGGCACCACGGCTTCTGATTGGGTCTGTATTTTTCCTGGGGCCCGAGGGATTGTCTCAGTGACCCTCACACATCACGCCACCAGGGATGGAAAATCTCTTGTTCAACCATAAACAGAGCACATAATACAGTAATTGGCAAATAGGCACAGACAGCTAATCACCTTTCTCTTTCCTCTTGCCCTTCCCCTGATCCTGTTCATGGGACACAGTCCCCATGCTGTCCCTCACATTTTTGCTTTGTCCTTGAAAAGAGACCTATCAGCTCCTAGGAATCCTTGACTAAATCCAGGTGGAAGCTCTCTGTCTCACAGGCTGCAGAGCCCTAAGAAGGGGTGGGGTGGCAGGCATGGACAACCCCAGGCTTCCCCAGCCCCTCCCTCCTGCCCTGAAAACGTTGGTTTCTGCTGGACTAAAACACACCCCTGTCACATTCGTCATTATCCTCCTCCTCCTCCAATGAGGTCCGCAAATATTCCTTTCCTGCAGTATTCTGAAGTACCGCCTCCTCCTGGTTATTTTGGCCAAAGCTAGACATTAGGCCTCTGTTGATTTTTGCTCCTTCCAAGGAATGAGCTAGCTAGGGGGATACAAGAAATGCTTAGTTCACTTTTCCTGTTAATGAAGGTTTTGGGGCTTCACAAAAGACCAAAGCTGCCCCTTCCCATCAAAAGTCTGGGACCCCTGGTTTACAGAATCTTAACTTATAGCAGCCAATCCTCTGGGTGAGTTATGATTTGGCCTCGGGCATGAGGAGGTTTAGCTAGATTTAGCTGTTCCTCATAATGTCCCTTCAGCTGGTTGGAAAACCAAAGGGTTCACTTGCCGGCTGGCTGTGGCCACAGGATGCAAAACAATTGGTCAGGTTGCTGTTTTCAATGTCTCCAAGTGACCGTCTTGGCTGTTAAACACAGCCTTGGTCAGGGCTCCTGTCTCTTCCTCTTGGTTTAATTCACTCAAACCAAGTTGCAGGAAGACGAACGTGGATGAAGTCTCTCGTTGGGTCGTGATGCAATCAGCGCCTGCCAGGAGAAGAGGAACTTCTGGGGCGACCTTGGTCCAAGGAGTGGGCAGATTGTCCGGAGAATGGATCAGAGTCCTTTTTCCTTGAATAATTTTGCTGGGGGTTGTGGCAAGCGTTCCAGCGACACAAAGCCTCACTCCCCGCTCCTTGGAAAACCTGTTAACATCTGGTGGAACACTATGTTTCCCAGAACACCATCTGGCCAGCGCTGGCCTAATGCATCGAGTCCACACCTCCGGGCTGGGCGATGGAGTCCCTCCGTTGTCTTTTCACAGCTCAACTCCCAGCCTCCTCACCCCTAGCTCTCCACATCCACGGGGCCCTGGGACACTTCCCCAGCTTCCGTCTCAGCCTTTGCCTCACATCGGCCTTGCTGTTGAGAGAGCCCGCCCTTTGCCACTCCTTGGTTGGGGCTCGTCCCACCTCCCTCCCTCCCTCCCCCTCCAGGGGACTTGCTTGGCCAACTGTGATCAAAGTTCATTCTTGCTGCCCTGGGTGTCAGGGACCACAGTTCCCGTATAATCTGAAAATGTGATTTTGTGTGGCTTCCGGACGCAACAGGCGCTCTGAGAGACGTCTAGGTGCCCCTAAATATCCGAAGGCTGGGAACGTTTCAGTGGCTTTGGGGACAGAATAGTGGAGACCCGGCTGTCCTTGGAAACACAGGCTCGGGCCATGGGGACTTTTGCACTTTGTCTTCAAGCTACAGATTTCGCACTTATGCTCAGTGCCTGGATTTCCACTTAATCTGCACTGATGCTACGCCTTTTCTCTCTACAAAAAGCTTGTGATCCTTGAGTCCCCAGACACGTGCCGCCTCCCCGCTTGCTCTGAGCTGTCATAGTAGCAGGTGCCCCAGCGGTGCTGGGGGCAGGGCGGCAAGAAGGATCAGTGGGGCTGTGGCTTGGAAATAAGAGGCCATCGCTGTGGGGGAAGTTCATTGTTTGGGAGGTGGGGATGAGGCAGGCATGTGTGTGTGTGTGTGTGTGTGTGTGTGCATGTGTGTGTGGGTGGGGGGCAGGTGCTGCTGGCCCTGGGAGCCTGCTGCGGATGCGGCACCAGGTCTGAGTCTCCAGCAGCTCAGCCTTGACATTTGTCCTCTCCCCTGAGTCCTACTCAGCTCTCCCCCACGCCACTCTGTTCTCCTGCCTGAGTTTCAGTTTCACTGATGAGCAGGCGACAGAAGCACCTCCCTACTCAGTAAGAGGCTCGCTGGGGAAACACTGGGCATTCAGGACATTCGTCTCCCTGTCTCCAGACTTCTCTGCAAACACGTCAGCTTCGGTATTCCAATGAGTCCCATGTTAGCTGAGTTGCTCCGAGGGACCCGACTGGCGGGTGTCCAAGGCATCTGCCTCTGGTGGAACTGCTGGAGGACAGCTCCCACGAAGGGACCCGACCCCTCTCGGCAAGGCTCACCTGCAGGCTGTGCAGACTTGAAGGGCATCCCGGGGAAGAACTGTGGCCCGGCAGCATGGAGCCTGATCGAGGCTACGGCCCTCCGCGCCCCCTGGCCGCTGGTGTGAACCGCAGTCCCGATGAGTCAGAGGAAGACGCTCCGCGTTGCAAGGGAATGACTGAGTGCGGGCGGGGGAGGGGTGCACAAGTGGCCGCAGGATGGCTGTACTCCCAGGGACTAAGTTTCCACAATGAACCTCAAGAATGAGTCGTGCTGGCTTCCCATCTCCTCCTTCAATGCCTCCTTTCCCCTTGGAGTGGGGCTAGAAGAAATGAGGAGACCACCTGAGGAAGACTCGCCCTCCTCTGCCTGGCTGAGGGGGCCACGTGGGCAGCATGTCTGCCTTTAGTGGGAAGCCGAACCTCCTGCCCCGCCCGGCCTCTCTCACCTGCCCTCCGCGTGTCCTGCTGGCTGCCCTGAACCCTTCCTTCTGTGGGGTGGGGACGGGAGGGGAGCAGGCCCGGGACAGGGACAGGTGTTTCCCTGCTGCCACCGTGCAGGTTCCCTGGGGCACAGGAAATAGCAGTGATCTGTGTCCTCCTACACTCTGAGCGCCAACCAGGTGTCACCAAGCCCAGCAGACAGGGGACGCTGGCTAGCAAAGCAGAGAAAACTCCTCTCCGTCTGGGGCAGGGGCAGGACACCTGCCACTTTGTGCTGCTTCTTTCCTTCCATGGTTAAAGCGGGGAGCCCCAGGCCCCTCCCACCCATCCCCTGAGGGATGTGTCCTCACCCTGCAGGGGTCCCCACCCCTGCGCCCCCTCCTTCCTCCTCCTGGTACTGGGGTCGGCCGGTTGGTTTCCCCAGCACTGGGCCTGCCACCTAAGCCACTGCCTTTGTCACTGGGCCTGTCCCCGTTGCAGCATTAACACTGTCACCTAAGAGCCCATTTCCCTGGGGACAGCTAAAGGATTCCAGATTCCTCCGCTGGCTGTTTGTCAGGACCGATTTCAGTCCGTCACGGCGGTTGTGTGCAGGACGGTGCAGGGGGGCCACGGCTGGGAGGCTTGGCGTCCGTCCGTTCCTTCCCAGCTGAACAGGCGTCACGTGTCAGCCACTGACAGGGCCCCGAGCTCACAATGTCAGGGGACCCCAAAATGCTGAGGGTAGTGTCCCTGCTCTTAACGAAGTTTGACATTGAGAGAGGCCAATGAAACAGACACACCAGTACCCGCAGGCAAGGCAGAGCAGGCTAAGCGGCCCCAGAGGCTCCACGCAGCTTTGGGAAGGGGAGCTGGGCGGGCTCCTTGTGGGGCGGGGACAGGTCCAAGGACAGGTAGCAGGAGCAACAGGCCTGGGGGCAGCCGGGTGTGTGAGCAGTGGCCACCGTCCCTAGGGGAGAGTTCTACAGTTGCGAGCAGCCCCTGCACAATTCCCAATCCCCGCCCCCACCCCAAGCTCCCGGCTGCTCCTTACCGCCCTTGACCACGCGGAGGGTGCAAGGTGTGTCTGGGGAGCCCAGGGGGCGGCTCTGCGTCTCAGATGGAGCCTCAGACTTTCTCAAGGCTGGAATCTTCGGGAATGTTTTCCCGTATATGCTAAGCGAGACAGGGGTCCTTCAGAATCTCTGTTTTCCTGGGAAATGCCACTGGTAATGCTGAAACTCTTTCCACAATAGGAGATGACCAAGTTAAGAAACAAGAGCTTCCTTCCCCCCTTTTTTCCTTTCTGGCAGCATCTCCCCTCTTTCCCCAACAAGTAGACTGGTGCAGGTGAGCTAGCATTTCATTTTTTTCCCCCTATAGCCATTCTGCATCTCCGATCATTTCTCTGGCCTCTCTTTAATTTGACAAAGACCCTCAATGCTGCAAATTACGTGATTCGGGACAGGCTGAGCTAGTGCTTATTGCAGTACATCCCTCCTCCAGGGCCAACGAGCTCCAGTCCCCCGGCTCCTCCCCACCCAAGCCACGTTGGGCCTGCAGATCACAAAGCCTCACACTGTCGTCCCTCCCTCCCCGATCAGCCAGGCCCAGTAGGGGCCTCTTGCAGGCAGCACTCTGTGCGTCTCTGGGGAAAGGCGGTCCCTCTCCCTCCAGACAATTTGGCAGGTGGAATCAATAGCCGTCCAGTCTCCTGGGAGCAGGGCCTTGGTTCATTCCAGCCACGCTGGAGCCGCCCCACCTGGCCCGGCCAAGGGTGTCTCCTTTGAGGGCAAGGTCAACGCCACCCCTGGGTGGGGCTGGGCAGAGGAGAGGTTCTGAGGCTACAGAGTTGACAAAAGGACTGGGAAGGGACAGTGACTGACTTCTACCCTCCTCCGCTGTCCCAGACCCTGTGATAGAAAGTAAAGAAGGAAGGAAAATATCTATGGATGTGAAAAAGGGCTTTGATTGATCGATTGATTGAAATTGACCTGTAATGTTATATTAGTTTCAGGTGTACAACATAATGATTCCACACTAGCGTATATTATGGAATGGTCACCACAATATGTCTAGTTAACATTCATCCCCCCACATTGTTCCAACTTTGTTTTCCGTGGGATGAGTGATTTATTTTGTTTTGATTACTTGGCTGAGAGCTACTGGCCAGAAGGAGATTCGTATCTTCACTGCGACAAATCTATGAACCAGGTGTGAAGGAGGGCGAATGTGAATGTATCGCCGTCTCCGTGTGTCCGGGTGCCGTAATCATGCACTTTTGTCACACTGACATTCTGTGGCCTCCCTGAACCTGTCTCCCACCTGCGCCTGCCCACGTGCCCCTGAGTGTGCCATATGGGAAGCACTTTCACATTACGTAAACACACGTGTTGTGCGTTCTTGCCACCAACATCCACCCCTCTTTTAAACTTCGAGTCTTTTTGGAATCACCTCAAATTTAAAAACCAAAGCAAAACAAAGCTGATTTTGGAAACTCTTTGAGAATTTTGGCCTCCTCCCATGATGACCGGATGCCCTCGCCGTTGGAAGGCTGGGCCTCCCTCCCTCCTCCAGGAGGGTGGGGAGGGACCCACCTGCTGTTCCAGCGTCCTCAGCCTGACTGGTCCAGGTCCGAGATGGGTAGTGTCCTAGATGGCTAAGGCGGCCATAATAGCATACCACAGACGGGGTGGCTGAAACAACAGTTTATTTTCTCACAGTTCTGGAGCCCGGAAGTCCAAGGTCAAGGTGCCAGCATGGTCGGGTTCTGGTGAAAACTCTCTTCTTGGGGTGCAGACAGATGCCTTCTGGCTTTGTCTAGAGAGAGAGACAGAGGAGGAGGAGAGAGAGAGAGAGAGAGAGAGAGAGAGAGAGGGAACTCTCGGTGCTTTTCTGACGAGGACACTAATTTCATCGTGTGGGGGGGCGTCCTCATGACCTCCTCTAAACGCAATCACCCCCCAAAGGCCCAGCTTCCAAATACCATCACACCGGAGGCCTTTCCATGGCTTTTGAGGGGACAAGACTCACCCACAGTGTGCAGCTTTTGTGGGTTTTAGTGTTGCCCCTGTGTGAGTGGCAAAGATGCGAGCCGACCTGCCGGGGTGCCTGTGGTGTGCAAACACTACAAGAGGTGTGTGTGCAGTGTGATATGGCTTCCACCCCCACCCCAACCACACACACGGTCCCCACGGGTCCCCACCGAGCTGGCCCATTTGTCCTCATCTGCAGATGAGAACCCTGAGGTTCACGGGTGTCAACGGGTCTGAAGTCCCTTCTGAAGGCAGAACGGAGGCGTCACAAGAACGCTACCTCCTGTTTGCTCACCTAGTCTCTTTGTACCAGGCATTGTGAGTCTGGAACCTTCTTCCTAAACAGGAGGCCGAGATGGGAAAAGCAGAAACGTGGAAAGCAATGGGGAAGCCACTAAGGATGGCCGCACAGAGAGACGTGCCACGGGCTGGGTTGTGGGGTGAGACTGCTAGCAGCGTAGTTGGGACAAGTCGTTTGCTAGAAAGAAAACATCACCCCTGATTCCTTCCACGGTTTGAACTTGAGCTGCTTCCCTCCTGAGGGCCAGCGAACGCACCTCCTGGGGTCAGGGAGAGGAAAGCCCAGGAAAGCCGACGTCTGTCCCGGTGGCATTCCTCGGCTTACCACTGGCCCCCGGGCCCGATCGGCACCTCCTCTCCCGGGTTCTCAGCCTTTCTTCTCCTCGAGGGTGATTTATTGAAGTTGTTACTTGTGGCACTTTAGCTGCTGGTTCCAATGGCGTCTCCCCTTAAAGAATCTTGGCCACAGTCATAGCCTCGAGTTTCTGTTTTTAGAAACAGCAAAACAACATGAAAGGACAGTGCCTCTCTGATAAGGAGCCACCTGATAAACATCGGCTTCCTACCATTGCAGCTGTGATCAGGGGCTGTTTTCACTGCCAGGGCGGGTATGGGCGGGGGGCAGGCATACCCCTCCTCTGCCAACAGCAGCCTCCCCTGCACTGCCCCTTCGCCAACCCTGCCTAGGCTATCTCATAGCCCAGATCAGAATACATGTGTATTCTGATCTATAGAAACTTTACACATGTACTTGTATATATGTCCATACAGGCTGACATTTACATTGTATATATGCACATGTGTGTATATACAACATACATGTACTTGCATGGATATATCCACATATACCTGTGTGCTCACTATATATGCCCATCTTTACTAGTGTTTGCAATGCACCCTGGCACCGTGCTAAATGCTTGGTTTGTTTCACTCTCATGCCCCCCGTGAAGCAGGGATGGGACATTTTTCAGACGAAGAAACAGGGTGGGAGACATTTGTCAGCTGCCCAGGGCTGTGTGGCTGGTAAGTAGCAGCGCAGGGGTGGAGCCCAGTGCGTCCTTGTCCCTGGGGCCTTTCCCAGTCCCGCTGGCCGCGGGATGGTCCTCTGTCCTCCAGGCCGCTGGGCCAGCCCTGGCCTGGATTCCCTTTGGGGTAAACGCATGTGGCTGAGCTCTTGCTCTTTTTCCAGACACGAACATTTTCCTTCCTCTGATGTTATCAAAACAAACAGAAAGCGTGGTTCGTGGCACCCAGAGCTTAACTTGACTCGATGTACAGACTGCACATACGCCTCAGGAATCCAGTGCGGCTAATTGCATGCAGGCTGTGGACCGCGTCCGAGGAAGGGCCGGAGCTCCGTGGGCCAGGGTTCATGCACAGTTCATATGGTAGAAATGAGTGAGTCACTCATCAATGGCACGGCCAGGGCTGGATTGCCCTGTGGCTTCCTTCCTTACATGGACAGAGATTCCAACTGCCGCGTGAATAACAAAGACGGTAATGTCCCGCTGGCCAACGGGGACCGGGCCAGCCAGTAAAGGGACCGCAGCAGCTGCTTTTTTCCAGAGCGCTGAAGGCTGCAACCCTAGCCCCCCTCAGCTGTCACAGTCAAACCTTGTGGGGTCCAGTAGAGAGCACAGATGGCCCAGGGCCATCGGTCCCACCCCTGGAAAACCGCAAGAGGGAATTTGTGTCCTGCGGACAGGGCTCCCCCCAAGCGTGCCCAGAGGCCAGCTCCCTGCCTAGGGAAGCGTTGCTCTTTTATTTGAAGGGAAACAGCGTTAGTTGGCAAGGTTTTGGGCACTGGAACGCCACTAAGAATGCACAGGACACACACCTTATCTTCTTCTTCAAACCTTAAATGCCTTATCCACTCCTCACTTTCTCTTTCCTGCCTTCTTGTGCTGGATTCTCCATTTGTGCTTTTCTTTTGGAGTACTGGCTAAGTGCTGGATAATTGTCCAATGTGTTAAACAGT